ACAACAACAAAATCTTTAAGGGAGAAGAAAGATTTTCTTTCTCCCTTGGAGTCGCTGGTGAGTTTGAACCACTGACCTTGTAGTTAGCAGTTCAGTGCTTATACTACAGCACCACACCAAGATTCCATGTCATAGAGTTGTTGTTGCTAAGTGCCATCAAAGCAGCTCCGACTCTTATCGACCCTATTTCCAGGAAGGAGTGGTTGGTAGGTTGAACCACTGACCTTGTGGTTAGCAGTTCGGTGTCATACTAGGAGTCCATGTTATAGAGTTGTTGCCATTGTTAAGTGCTGTCTAGTCAGTTCTGACTCATAGTAATCCTGTATAGGATTTCTGAAGAGCAGCTCGTATATTTAGCCACCAACCTGTGGTTTGCAGTCCAGTGCTTATCCTGCGGCTCCATACCAGGAGCCCATGTTATAGGGTTGTTGTTATTGTTAAGTGCTGTTGACTCATAGTAACCCTGTATAGAGTATCTGAGGAGCAGCGGGTGACTTTGAACCACTGACCTTGAGGTCGAGTACTTATACCTACAGCGCCACGCCAGGACTCCATGCTATATAGGGTGTTGTTGTTAAGTGCCATTGAGTCAGTTTCTACTCATAGCAACCCTGTAGAGGGCTTCTCAGGAGTGGTTTAGTTTGAATCACCAAGCTTGCGGTCCAAACAGACCTTGTGGTCAAGTGCGTATCCTACAGCATTCACAAGGACTCTGTCATAGGGGGTTGTTGTTAAGTGCCATGGAGTAGGTTCCAACCCATAGCAATCCTGTAAATGGTTTCCGAGGAGCGGCTGGAATGCTTGAGCCACCAACTTTATAGTTCAAGCTGACTTTGCAGTCCAGCACATTAACCCACAGCGCCACATCAGAACTCCTAATAAATTATATTTACAAACCATTGGCATAATTCTCTAGCAGAAAACATATTTTAAAAAAACATAGATCTCACAGGTTCTGAATAGAATAAAATTTCAACCATTTACAGACTCTCAATTTTGTTAAAAAGTGTCTTTTATTGGCTTTCTAGCCATTGCTCAGAGGTAGATTGTTCTTTATATCTTTAAATGTTAACCTTTGGGGAAGGTCTTGGGTTTGACACATCTTCTGTATTTCTAAAAGAGGAATCTCAGATCTAGCTGAAACACTGGTGGTCACTTAACCTTCCTGCTAACGTTACCTCAATTCTGTCCTCAAGATCAAGCCCAAGGGACCTAACTTATTTCAAGAGACCCCTTTTGATAATAGGCCCTGCTTGCTTCTTCAGCCTCAAAAGTACTTTCAGTTTCAGAACCCCACTTCTAGAGCACCACCTGCTGATAGTAACTGCTGATAGCTTCCTAAGGCTGACTGGAATAACTTGTGCTAAGAGTCAGTGCTAACTGTTGACCCTTTCCCAGAGCAAAGTCTGGTTCCTAACACAGCTCTCTTCTGAAATCTAGCTTTTCAATTCCTGGAAATAACAATGCATGCCTTGCCTCTTCACATGAATGCTGAAATCTGATATCCCTGAACACTGAAAAATCATGTAAGTTTATAAGGAGTTCTTACGGTTATTCTTTCTAGCATCTTAGTAGTTCTCATGCTGTATCAACTCCTTTTTTCCACCTGCAAACATGCAAAAGTTTCCATTAAGAGAAAAAACAAAGCCAAATATCATAAAAGGCTTCAATGGATTTTTTTCCTTCCAAAATCATTATCAAACTTTTCAAAGCTTAGTCTATCCTCCATGTGTAGAATTTTATTTCTCCCCATTCATTCATACACTCCTCAAACACTTCCTGGATACCACAGGTGTTAGATAGAAAAAATACAGTAAATGAATGAAATGATTATCCAGCAGCTGAGACACCACTGGACGTGGCATTATCCTCATTTTACAGACGAAGAAACAAACTAATGGCCAGAAAAGGCGGGGATGCACAGACCCATACAGCCAGAGCCAGCTATACAGTATGCAGACCAGACCTAGGGAAAAACGAGAACCCAGAGACCCCCTTTCGAAAAGAAGGAACACAGTGCTGTCAAAGGCACAAAAATAAATTTCCTTCTCTTGTGGTTTCTCCCTCCTGGCTTGTTATGGTGATTTTATTTGCCATTTGATGTTTTTCTAAGTAAAGAAAAGTTAAAATATTAAATATTGGCATACATTTAATTGTTCATATTTACATTGTCCCATGCCAGTTTTAAATAAAAATATGTTAATGTTAGTTGACATCCAGCCGATTCTGGTTCATGGTGACAACTGATATGGGAGCATCACCAAAATTACACAGTTTGTATTTCACAGACAGAGTCCTTGGAAATCCTATACAGGATCGGTATGAGTCAGAACTGACTCTATGGCACTTAGCAACAAAAACAGATATGCATAGTGTCTTGTTTATAGTGCTGGTGGTGGTGAGCCGTGGAGTCAGTTCTGACTCATAGCGACCCTGTATAGGGTTTCCTAGGCTATAAATCTTTATGGGATTGCATGGAGGGGATTGTAACCATGGCAATGAGACAATATACGATAGAATGAATGTAAAACTAACGTTCTCCCATGTAAACTATCACATAATTCACAATAAATCATTAAAAAAAAAATTCTTTATGGGAGCAGAAAGCCTTATCTTTCTCTCCTGGAACTGCTGACCTTGAAATTAGCAGCCTGACTTGTAATCAGTAGGCTACCAGAGAAGCATGGAACTACTGTACAAAATGAATGCAATTGTTTTTATTTCACTTCGTGATAAGCACAGAGATGTGTTGCCAGAGGTAGACAACAACACTCTATTTTTTGCTTATTGATGAATAATAAAAACCTGAAAGGAGAAGAAACTGTGGGTTACCCTATGCTTTCCTTCCCTTTTGTGTCATCATTTGCAGCATAGTATGTTTGCCAATGTAGGGAAGTAACATAGTAAGAAAGAATGTGATCGTGTCTCTTCGCTTTTCTTAGAATGGCATTGCCTTCTTTCTGGGTTCACATCAAGTTTTGGCTGCAGTGAAACACGTGGTCTCTCAGGACCATTAGTGTTTCCACTTGCTCAGCCATACACAAGTACATACTTTGTACTTACTTTCTAAGAATATTGACTTTTCATCTCTCACTTCTCTTCTTTATAACATATATAACTGAATAAAACTTGTATTTTTAAGATTTTTATGTTTGCAAATCTTAACTGAGCTTTACCTTCCTCATTTATAATGTGGACTCTGCAATCTCTGCTCACCTAACAGAGTTGTTGTGAGTTTCAAATAACACTTGTTAAAGTTCCTGGACAACAAACTGGCTTCTGTTGCTTTCTAGTTCATTTTTTGGAGTAGTTATTTCCTTTCAAATGGAGATGTCAACAAAAAGACATAGTCTAATTGTTTCTTATTAGAAACCCAAATCTCAGCATTTTGCATGTGATGGGATTGGTGCTGTGGCTTTTCAAATGATGGTACCTGATATTTTGAATGTCATTTTCTAATTTGACAGACTTTCACAATTTTTGTATTCACTCACCAATTCCTCAAATGCCCTCTCAACTTTAATTTTTAGATTAGCAGTTACATTTTAAAATTTCAATTAAAAAGCATAAAAAAGTATTCAAAAGTTTTCAATTAAAATGCTAGAATTTAAATAAAGTGCAACTCAATTCAAATTTTAAATTTACATTCAAGATGATAAAATAGAAAAAACCTTAAAAGTTAATTTTAATATCAGATTTTAAATCATCTGCAAGAAATCATAATTATCTGAAATAATCCCATATTAAAAATCAATATAAACTGAAATTTCCCCACCCATATGGATATTCTTGTTTAAAGATGTCAAAACATTCTGGTTAAAGCTGACTGATCTATATTCCAGTAAGTAAATATGGTGAAGTCAGCAAGGTAGGTGAGTATTCATCGGTCAATCATTAGGCCAGCTGGCCTATTGGTGACCTCTCTCTTCATGGATTGGCATTATGTAGATTGGCCTTCATCCCTGGGTGGGAGAAGGCTTAGTGATGGGGGAGAAAATATTTATACTCTTCATATAGAAGTATTGTCTACATTTTTAAAAGCATGTGTTGATGCCTTGCTTGTGTAACTAAACAAACAAACAAAAAGAATGCAACACAAGACAACATTGAAGACAGGTAGGTGAAGAAAGTAGGACACAAAGAATGAGTTGGAAAGATGAAATGAAGCTGGGTTGAAAGAAGGAGCAAACTATTTGCATCTGATAAATTACTACTCACTTGTTTTAGTTGCCAGCGCTAAGGAAAAGAGTCTTAAACGAGTTCCTATTAATTAGAATTAGTTCCTACAGTATGTATCAGATAACTAAAGGAAGTATTGCTTAAACAAGAGAGGTTGTTTATTTCCATCTTATGTAGAAGACAAGATGTTCAGTGGTGGGCAGTCCAGAACTGGATGACATGATTTGTAGTTCCACGTGTTACCAGAAGCACAGGCTCCTATCTTTTTACTTCACTATCCTAGCACACAGCTTCCATCGTCAGCATTACTTCCTGGTTAAGATGGCTGCTGGATCTCCAACCATTTGTGTCTGAACAGAGAGCTGCAAAAAGAGGCCAACAAGGGAATCCCTCCCTCCTAAATCAAGTCCCTTTTCTATGGAAGTCGAGTGCACTTTACATATCCTTGATCATATTCAATTTCAAAAGCAGCTGGCCAGCAATGTGGCTAAAATTCAAGTTTTGATAATAAGGAAGGAAGAAAGAATGAATAACGGGGAAGCTAGCAGTCTCTGCCACCAAGTGTTTTCCTCCTTTGCTTTTAATATTCATGAATGGTGAACATCAAATGGTTACATACATGATGTTGAATTCTACAAGATTAGAAAGATTTTTTTTTTTTTTTTTTTGCAATACACAATATTCTTGTATAATAAAAATCCCATGATTCATCTGGAAGTATATTAAATGCTAGAGTCAGGAAGACTTTGCCTTAAAAATTATCCTCAATTGTAGGAAAAATGTTTATATATTGATAACAATATTGGGAAGTTTTCTGTACCTTTTTGTTTCACCCATCACTTCTTAACTACTCGTCTCAGTGAATGGCAGTGACTTGGTGCTAATAGATGTGGTTTGCGTGAACAATGACAGTGAGTTTGCCCCGGAAAGACACCCTCTTTCATTTGTGTTGAATAGACAGTGCCTGGGAATTCATAACTGTAGGCTTGCTACAACATTTTAAACCATTCAGGAACGGAATATAAACCTGAAGGTGTGGTCTGTGGTACCAGAATTTGGGGTTTGGATCCATATGCCCCAGGGCTTACTCCAGGGCCTCCAATGTCTGAGGGAAATATGTGGATGAGGAGTTCACTGTTTTTGATTCATTTGTCTTATAACTTCTTTCTTTTTTAGGTGATTATTTATATACTGAGTTTAGTTGATTCCTTTTCATATTGACCCTGTAGACCAAGGTGGAGCTGTTACATAGGGTTTCCAAACTTGTAAATCTTTATGGAAGCAAATTGCCTCATCTTTCTCAAAAAAACAGATGGTGGGTTCAAATCACAGTCCTTTTGGTTAGTAGTCCAACACTTAACCAACTGCAGCACCAAAACCAGAAACCAAACTCACTGCTATCTAGTTAATTCTGATCCATAGTAACTATATATAGAGTTGCCAAGACTGTACATGTTTATGGGAGTAGACAGCCTTCTCCTTTGGAGCAGCTGTTAGGTTTGAACCACTGACCTTGTGGTCAGCAGCTCAATGCCTAACCCACAGTGCCACCAGGGTTTCTATCATTGGGATAAGCAATCAAAATCGAGAGTAAACCATATTGCTGTTTTTAAAATGAAAACCAATTGCCAAGTACTATTAATTACTTGGAATCCTGGTGTGACACCATAGGATGAGCACTCGACCAAAAGGTCAGTTTGAACCGCAAGGTCAGCGATTCAAACTTACCAGCTGCTCCTTAGAAACCCTATACAGGGTCGCTATGAGTCGGACCTGACTCAACAGCACTTAACAACAGCAACAATTAATTATGTCTACTTGATATAGCACTGAAGGATAAGCACTGGACTATGAACCTTAAAGTCAGCGATTCAAACCCACCAGTTGCTCCTTGGAACCCCTATACAGGGTTGCTATGAGTTGGAACCGATTCATTGGCACTTAACAACTACACTGATTTTTAAGGAGCTCTGATGGCATGGTGGGCTAAGTATTGGACTGCTAACCTCAAGGTCAAAGGTTCAAACTCACCAGCCATTCTTCAAGAAAAAGATGAGGCTGTCTGATCCCATAAAGATTTACCCTACATAGCAGTTCTACTCTTGCTTTGGGTTTTTGGATTTTAAGTCTGCTTTTATTCTTGTTGAAGCCTTAAGTGAAAGCAAAATTAGTGTATATGAATATGTAAAAGTTGAACCCTGAAGGAAATTTAACTGAGCATATCCCAAAAGAACGAAGAAAGAATTAAAGCTTTGTGTGGGACCTCAATCTAAGAGATAACTTTGTTGTTGTTAGGTATCATTCAGTCAGTTCTGACTCATGGTGACCCTGTATAGAGTATCAGAGGTTGTGAATCTCCATGGGAGCAGAAAGTCTCATCTTCCTCCCTAAGAGCAGCTGGTGGGCTCAAACCATTGACCTTATGGTTAGCAGTACATTGATTATCCTACAATGCTAGTTATCATTATTGATAAGTTACTCAAGACAGCAAGACTGGCTACCCATAATGTGCCTTGATAGAGTGAATAATTTCATTTAAAAAAGCATTTATATCTTAACCTTTCTTGATATTTCTTAATATGTCCTTTAACCAAAACTGAAGTTCAAATTTATGATTCTCTTAGATAATTAAAGTATGGATTTAGAAGAATATAATTTATGGGATATATATAATACATCATCCTATATGTTTATATTATTTAAATATTCATTCGTGTTCAGATTGTGTTCCTATCTATGATCTCATATGGGTTTTTACACCCTAAACTTGGTGGTGGTTGTTGTTAGGTTTGGTTCTGACTTATAGCAACCCTATGCCTAATTGAACTGCTGTATTCAGAGAAGTCAAGTGGCTCACTCATACCATACAGTCAAGTATTAAAGAATCCTGAGCTAGAATCCAGAGCATGCGTTTGTTCAACAGATATTTATTTGTACAGTACCCTTCGCAAACACTGTTGTTTTCTCATGGAACAAGGACAGCTGCTGTTCTCATGAACTTCAGGGTGAGGGTTTCAAAATCAGACTGCTGGACTTGGATCTAGTTCTGCTACTGGCTGTTTGACCTTGGGCAGATTACTTAATCTCTGTGCCTCAGTTTCCCCATCTGTAAAGAAGCAGGTTGTGATAAACATTATATAAATTAAATACTGTAAACTGTTTAGGAACAGAGTCTGGTGCTGAATAAGTACATAGAAAGTATTAGTATTAGTATTAGTATTAGTGGGAGCAACAGATGTTAATTAAATACCCGTGCTTATAAGTGTGTAGTGACAAACTTGAGATAAATAACTGCAAGTTACAGTTCCATCAAAGCTGTGCCCCAAGGAAGGTTTCCAAGAATATGGCTCTAAGGGGCGTTCTAGAAGGTACACTAGAGTTAGCTCTGTTAGCATTCCAGAGAGGGATTTGGGTCTTGAATTTCTTTAATTCAAGATTGCTTTATCATTTGTAATACTCTGCATATATTAGCTCAATTAGCTTAAAATCAATTGGTTGGTCCAGAGAATCTGGAAACAACACTTTGGAGTGAAAAGAGCACAGATCTGAAAATGAGAAACAAGGATTTTAGCTTTAGTTCTGCTATCAATTCTTTCTAGCCCGAAGGAAAATCACTTAGTCTGTTTTTGGAATCAACTTAGAAGTTCAAAAATAACTAGCATGGTTTAGTTCTAGGACTTCCTTTTCCATATCTATACTTCTTTTTATCTTCATAAAATATTCAAGTGATGACTTCTACACATTAAAAGCATAGCCATTCTCCAAGATCTAGCTCACATATCCAGATTGTAGGTGGGGGCAGGGAATGATGTTTTTATTTGCCTCTAATTCCAAATTTTGGAGTCCCTGGGTAGTGCAAACAGTTAACAGGCTTGACCAAAAACTGAATGGTTGGAAGTCCAACTCCACTGCACGGGCATCCCAGAAGAAAATTCTGGTGATCAACTGTTGAGAAATCAGCCATTGGAAATTCTCTGGAGCACAGTTCTACTCTCACTTGCCTGGGGTTGCCTGGGGTCACAATAAGTCAGGGTAGATGCGTTGGTAACTGTTTATTCCTATTTTGACAGATTAGGGACTTTCTATTCCTTGTCTCAACATTGGCTAGTGTAAGTGCTTATCTCCCATCATTCCCAATAAAATATGTCTTGATCCTCAGCTGAATCCCAGTTCAAATTCCCTTGTGATTCATTACAATTTGAAAGAGTTTTTACCTTTCTGTCTTTTGAATCTTGGTTTCCCTTGCATATCATTATAAAATAGACACTTGAAGGGGAGAGAAAGGAATAGCCAGAAATATCAACATACAAAGCTTTTCAGTCTATCTTCTGCCTATAACTGATTGGAATACCTAAAATGAGGTTACGATGTGCCCAGTGAAGAAGGCTTCCTGTGGAGCTTCTGCATTACATAAGACCATAGATGGAATCCTGAGCAGCATCCAGAATCTTCAGAGGTG